ATTTCCATGCAAAAAGCCTGAAGATTTGTTCATTAGATTTTTTTCCCCTCATAATTTGTTTGCAAACTTTCCCTGTGTAGGATGATAGGGAAGCTGTCATCGATTTCTGGTTTGAATCAATATATAGTTTTAAGGTAATAGCGAACAAAACGAGTTTTCCTTTCCTGTCATATACCCAACATGTGTCCATGACAGTGAGAGGAGAGAATTCTGGTTCAATAGCGATGTAGGGTGTGGGCCTTGGGACTTGCTTGTTTTCTTTTTATTTGCATTTTATGGTTAATTAATTTAATTTATTATTTCTGCATCTGCCAAATGCGAGGTGTAATACTTGTATATGACAATGAGTTATGGCCCAGGTTTAGCGTTTGGATATCATTTGGTGCATCTGAAAGAAGGTAGTTGATAGGGCTAGTTCTATCCAGTATCATGGCTTTTTCTACCAGAATCCTTACTTTTCCTGTGTGATTGATTCTTCATGTAACATCTCTTCCCACAACTAATATTCTTTTACATTCATCACAATACTCAAACAGTCTGGTTTCTGGTGTATCTTTTTAGAAGGACATCTGGTTGGATGAAGATCCAACTCTTATGAATTAATTCAATCTTAATAATTTCCTTAGAGGTCCCATTCTCCAAAACAGGTGAGTCTGAGTAGCAAGGCTCCAACAACAACAACAATAATAATAAAAAGCAATGACAGCATCTCATAACACAGTGCTATTTCATGTGCCATCTGCTCCATTTCTGAACCAGATCTCTTAATATGCTTGGGAAAATACTGGAAGATTATTCTAGTAGTGTAACTCCTGTGGGAGGCCTGGATAGAGTTCCAAGATCCTGAATTTTGGATGGTTCCGTCCTGATTGCTTCAGCCATCTTGTTGGTGAACAAGCTGATGAAAGATTTCTCTCCCTGGTTTTCTCTCCCTTTCCCTCTTCTCCCCTGTCTCCCTTCTGCTTTCTCTCCCTACTCTGTCACTTTGCCCTTCAAACAAATAAAATAAATCTCTAAAGTAATATACAAAAATTTAGATGCCCTTGCAGATAGCATTGATTCAAAAATGAAGAATAGCTGGTTATCAAAACTGGACTGAAACCGAGTGTGTAGAAAGAAGCAAATAATAAGTTGTCTTTCTTGGAGATTGTGTGGTCATTTATTCACTTCACTATAGATATTGTTTTTCCTGTTCACTAAAGTAAATTAAGACATACATCTTATAGCATAGACCTTTGGTTTCCTTTTGTTTTTCCTTTGAGCTTCCTACAAATAACACTGGATGGTATCTGAGCTCAGTAGGCTTTTATAAATGTTCCCTTAGCAAACCTATACCTTTTCAAGTAGTTGAAACAGCATAAATAAATCTGTTACATGACACTGTGCTCTTACCATGCCAGTAAACATAAACAAAAAAGCGCCAATAAATACTATTTTTCTAGCCTGAAAGAGAAATCAGAAAACACAGGTGTGTTGCTGTAGAATATTTATCTCCATTCTTGTGAAAATTCTTTAGACACTAAATAGAAATTATTTCATTCCCTACTGCAGAAAAGTGATAGAATAATATAAAATCATTTCTGTATTAAAAATGAATAACTGGAGGTTTGTTCCATTTTATTAGAGGTTATAAAAGTGCTGCATTTAAATGTCAACTGCTTTTCTTTTACCATTTTAGAGTTTCAGGAAGTTGGATGTGAGTGAAGAAGTGATAAAATTGAGTGATAAAATTAGTACAGATAATCTATGTACTCAAATCAGGATGGGGCATGCGATAATAAACTGAAAAACAAAGAAATGGAATTTGTATTAGGGATTTTTTATATACATAGTAAAGAAGCACTTAGGAAACATCTCACAATCATTGACAAGCTGTGTGCAACTGTTTGATCAATTTAAAGTTATTTTTACTCTTAATGTATTGTATAGCTATAAATAGTACTTTGTGGTATTTCTGAGGGGAACAGGATATTTTTGAGTGTGCATGTGCTACATTTTAACCTCAAAAGTGCTTACTTGCTAGACAAAAGTCACAATAATCCTTGGATCCAAGGCTATCAGTGAGCTTTGTATTCACCAAGAGACTTGAAAATATGTTTGGAGTTATCTGTGCCTTGCAGATGCTCCTAATCCACAAAGAAAATTATTTAATGGGAAATTTATAGCCCATAAAGGATTGCGCAGCTTAAAAATTGGATTGCATGGCTGACCACAGTGCAGACATAATCCCAGCAAAGCCTCATGTGTGTCTATTGGTCTCCCAGTCTCTGAGTAACAAGAGCATTTCACTCTGTTTTCTGTGCATGTGGCTAACAGCTACCTCTCAGCCACATGGATAGCTCCCGGGGCCTGACCCTAGAAGCATGGAGCTCATGATGAAGACAGCATGAATAATTTTTAGGGAACACTCTTAAGTGTCTGGCCTGTTGGCTTAAAGTTTAACTATTACGAGACTGGAAATTTCTCCCCCCCTCCCCAAATTGATATACATTTCCTTAAGATTTCTAAAATTATAGAAAACAGTATAACTCCTCTTATCAGGATGCACAAAGGAAAGGAGCATAAAATATTTGTTTTCAGAGGCTCGCCTAGATCAATGTTTTCTGTGCCATAGGTTATAGTTATAATTAAGTAGCAGATGATTTTTCCAAAAATTCAAAAGCTACTTTTCCATTAAAATAAGTACATATATTTGAAAAATTATAAGCATAAAAATCCACACCAAAATACCCTTTGGTTAATTTAAGAAAATCTTGACTGTGCTTTAATTTATTCATCTAAAAATCCAACACTAGAATTCATGTCGATTCTGTTTATAGTTCTGGAAAGCAAAGGCCACTCAATGGGAGGACATAAAATATTATGAATGGGCAAACACTGTTAGAAATATTTAAGGGAGGCCGGCACAGTAGCCTAATGGCTAAAGTTCTCAACTTGCACAAATCAGGATCCCATATGGGCACCAGTTCTAATCTTAGCAGCCCTGCTTCCCATCCAGCTCCATGCTTGTGGCCTGGGACAGCAGTCAAAGATGGCCCAAAGCCTTGGGATCCTACACCAGTTTTGGAGACCTGGAGAGACTGTGGGCTCTTGGCTTCAGATCAGGACAGCTTTGGCCTCTGCGATCACTTGGGGAATGAATGGAAGACATTCCTCTTTGTCTCTTCTCCTCTCTATATATCTAGCTTTACAATAAAAAAAAAAACCCTCTAAAATTTTTAAGTGCTAACTTATAATGTGTTAGCCATTATTTTCTCGTTGGCTTGTACCATATCAATTTCTTATGCTTTATGCAATTATTTGAAATGATACTTTTTAAAAGCATGTAAACCAACTTAAGAATAGATAAAAATAAGTCACATAGCATAGTCAAGGTGTGTTTCTTGGTCTCAGAAACTTGTGAAAGTGCTGAAAGAAGAACAAAAGGAAATAACATAGAGAAAATGTATACCAAATAAATTGGCCTTTCCTATAAAATCAAAGCAGCAGACTAGTGTTGCAAAGAAAAGCTGAATTGTTTGACAGAAAGGGAACGTGTGATTTTGATTTTGAACAGATCACTCCATCCCAGTGTGCTTCTGTGTCCTTCAAGCTTTAGATATTTAATATTTACTGTCCACTAATTTTTCTATTCTACTTGATTTATGCAGTATATATCACTTATGCAGTCTTTCCACTTGATTAGCTTTTCGCCTTATTAGTCCCTCTACTCCTAAGCTCACTATTATCACCATGTTACTGTGCCACTGGCAGGACTGGCTCTGTATCAGCACACCCAGAATTACTAAATGAGAGCTGATTAATAAAGGATCATTTGGGCCCGGCACAGTGGCACAGTGGTTAAGGTCCTCACCTTGCACGCCCGGGATCCCATATTGGCGCTGGTTCTATCCCGGTAGCCCCGCTTCCCTTCTAGCTCCCTGCCTGTGGCCCGGGAAAGCAGTCGAGGACGGTCCAAGGCTTTGGGACCCTGCACCCGCATGGGAGACCCTGAAGAGGCTCCTGGCTTTGGATCAGCATAGCATCAGCCGTTGCGCTCACTTGGGGAGTGAATCATCGGATGGAAGATCTTCCTCTCTGTCTCTCCCCTCTGTATATCTGCCTTTCCAATAAAAATAATAAAAATAAATCTTTAAAAAAATAAAGGATCATTTACACGTTGTGGATTCAAGACACCCTGAAGATTAGAAACATGGCCTGGTTGGTCACGACCCTTGTGTTGGATAGAACAGAAGGGAAGGACCTGTGTAGAGATGACCATCTTTAGGGAATAAATCAGTTTATCTAGGACAGAATCTATCCATAGATGAACAGGGCAGGGGGAATAAATGTCTCCCACAGCTGTCTCTTTTCTAACATATATTTTCTATGTCTGTCTTCCTGATATTGGATAGTACAAGTCAGTACTTTCAGGTTAACTGATTTCTCTGTCACTAGCATTCTACCGTTGAACTCATCCAGTTATGTGCCTTATTTCAGAATTTGTCTAAAATTTTCTTTGTTTCTACTTACACTTCTTAAATAATATGTTAATCACAAAAATGTGCTTCGTTATTTCATTAAAAATAACTATAACAGAAACAGAAACCTTGTCTGGTAACTCGGCATGTGGATCATGTTACTTACCATTGTGTATTTGGTGCTGATCTGTGTTGACTTTTTCCTTGATACTAGGAAACATGGTACTTTATTTGAATGGTGAATTACCTGAATGTCAAATGCCCAAAATGTCATGAATATATGTTAAAATACCTCCAAATTCTGCTGTTATTCAGAATACTTTTCATACTATTTTAGTAGGCTTTTAATTTATTAGATTCATTTTGTGGCAACACAATTCCTAATTTTTAAGTTACACTTCAGGCTGAGTCAGCTGTACTGTTTTATCTATACATTGCTAAGGAATCAGTCAGAACTTATGGAGACTTTGAGTACAGAATCTGAGGTATTTCTCCTGCTTTTTCCTCCTGCTTTGGCATTTGAAACACTTTTATCAATGCATATTGATTTCCAGGGTCCTGTTATCTTCTTTTTCTTTGTGCAAGGGCCATGCTAACCTTCTGTGTATCGTTCTAATTTTAGTATATCTGCTACTGCAGCAAGCACATCTTATTTGTCAATTCAGAAAGATCACAGAGTTTATGCAAGAAATTCAGCTGCCCTAGGACTATGCTTGACCATCATTTGCCTTTGCTTAAATTCCTGTATTTCTCTGCCCTTTTGAATGTGGTGTATTTTAAATGTTATTATCTGTAATTAGTATTCAATTTAATCTATTTGTAAATGTAATTACTTCTTTTTAATAATTTTCTTCTAATTTTAATTTTAAAATATTTTAATTCAATGAAAAAATATGCAACAGGAACAAGTCAAGCTCTTCAGCATTACTTTCAGCATAGCGCTCTTGTTGCCTTGCCCCTTACCCTCCACAGCTGTAACCAAGCTCTTCCTGCAGATACACATCACCCTCACCAAGTACATGTTTTAGGATGGTATTTGTGCAGATTAATGAGCATGATGAAATATTTCTTTTTGATTCATTTCACATTTTTGGGAATGATATTGACACTCCACTTACTTAAATGAAAATAAAATTCGAGTTATTAATTTATACATAACATGACTTTAAATCTCCTCATTCTCTTTTCATTTTTTGTTTTTAGTAACATACAGAACCAACTCTACTTCAAAGATCCGATTCTACGTTCTCAGAACGTGGTGATGGTTTCTATCTACTTCACTTCCTCTCTCCTTCCTTCCTCTCTTTTGTTTTCTTTTAATTTTTTCTACCATTGCCGTACTTAAATACTCATGATATCTTCGATATGTGTGTGATTCATTCTTTTGTCATTCCTTTGGGTTGTTTATGAATGGATAGAATTCCTGAGTAGAATAAATGAGGAAGCACTACTATTCTTCAAATTTCATCCTTAACTTTTTACAATATAGGAAAGCCATACATCCATTTGAATTTGCATCTTGCACAATTACTTTAATTACTAAAGTTTGCGTGGTGAGGATGAAATGTTGCATCTATTGTGCTTTCCAGTCCTGTAGCAGGACTCAGGCTGTGAAATGCACATGCTTTGTTTGGATGGAATCAATGATTTGAACCTCTCAGCAGCATTTACTATAAAAGTTTGCTATTTTCTCTGTGCATTGATATTTCTTCATCCTGAATAAATTACTAATGCAACGATGTGATGACAGAATTAAAAAATAGTAACTGAGTAGATAATTCTAGATATTCAAAAATTATTTGTTAAAATAATTCTGTATTCCAGATATGGTTATTTAATTAGATTATGCTACTTTTATTCAGAATTACTCAAACATTTCAGTTATGTCTTTTTTGTCATGATAGCAGGGATTTTTATGCACCCAGACGTCAAGTCATATCAACTATTTTCTGTGTTGCCCTGGTACCTGTTTTAGTCAAGGAAAATCAAGATTAGTATGTAGATTTTAGAATTACGTAACAAAAGAGATGACTCTGTAATAGTAGGTTTTAAATGCAATTTACTTTTTAAAACATAGATATTAGTTTTTACATTTTATGCGTGTGTCTGAAGTGCTTTACATAAACAATATCCCATAAATAATACCTGATACATTGTACTGAAATAAGCAATATGAGCACTTTTCATATCATGCATTTTATTTCCAATATCTTTTTATTATGCTGCATGGAGAATTTAATAATGCAGTAGAGCTGGATATATTTCTGACTTGACCTTGTAAGAATTATCCTCATTGGACACTTTTCATAACAGTCTAAGAGCAGTTATAATTTGTAATTAATTTAAAATACAAAACAATTTTCATTCCAAAACTTAAGTTTGTAAAACCTATCATTTTGCCTTCACATTTTCAGCCTTCTTTATTAAGATGCTTTTTGATATCTAAATACCTGCCACAGAATATTAGAGATCAGCTGGCACTGTGCTGGTTTAAGTGAGCAAATATTTGTAAAGTTGGAATGATGGCAAAGGCTAAATAAACTTGTGATTACTGGCCTCAAGTACAAGAATTTTAAGTGGTGCACATTGTACATAAAAATAATAAAAAATAATAAAAGTGGCACACATTGGATATTTATTATTTTTTCTGTGACATATTCTTGGAAGAATACTTGCAAAGGAATGTGTACATACATACATAAGTATGTAACTTATGTTAGAAACTTGTACTAAACTGCAAAAAAATACAACAAAATATTATGCAAAGTACCTAAATATGCAGTCTGTGAAAGAAGGAACTCACCATAGAAAGTGGATGAACATTCACTAATAATGGTTTTCAAAGAAATCCTGAATAAACATTTGCACGACTTTCCTGTCTTCTCAGAGAAGAACAACTTTAAAATATCATATTTTTCTTGTGCAATTATATGTAGGTAACACAGTGTATTAACTTAGAGACTCAGGAAAAATAAGCTTTACATACCTTCTGTTACAATAATGTCAGACATAGGTAGAGATATTAAGAAAAATCTCATTTTATTTTTAAAGTTGTACATATGAGGATATTTATTGCGGTGCTATTAAATGCATCTCAGGTTTAAAGTCAACATTAACACACTGTTAACATGTTCAAATACATACAGTAGATACACAATATTTTCTGTTTTTAGAAGTAATTGTTGCAATCTGGATTTTTAAGTATCATAGTACTTGATGATAGATTTGGCATGTACCAAAAACTAATTTTTAGAAAACACATTGAAGTGCTTTAAGCAGGAATAAAAGAAAAAAATCATTAAAATGACCAAATATTCAGATGAATTACATAGATTCAGATACATACCATACCCATGGTATGGAAACCAATAGTGAAAATCATAAATTAAGCTACAGATGAATAAATCTCATTACCAGTTCAAAAGTTTTAATTTATTCCTGCTTTTGTGAAAATCTATAAGCTAAGTAAGATATATTTAAGTGAATATGATAAACTATTGTAACATAAAACAATGTGACATTACTTCAGTGATCAGTACATTCGTTTCCAGAAAAAATACAGATTCTATGAGAATTACATATTTATATTATTCTCAGATACTGCAGCAACATGAAGAAGGTTTTTCCTGTATATTTTGTTGCATTATAATGGGGAGAATTGAATTTGAATATGAACTCTCTACTTTATAGTCTTATAATACATATAAACAATAAATCATAAATGTCAGAAATATACACTTTCAAACTGTGAAAGGGAGAGCAGCTGTTTACCATATATATGTTTTATACAAGACATATTATCCAGGAAAAAAATATAGAACATTATACTAAATAATGTGCAAGTTACTTGGTTATATACTCAAGAATGAGTTGTCCAGACAGAAATTTCTTAAAATACTCAGGATACATTTGTCAGCTACGAAATATTAATTAAAAACAAAAAATTACTATGATAGCAAGTGTTATGAAGCATTTAGAACTGGAACACTTACTTATCATCTAGTAAGAACAAAAAGCACAATTATTTTGACAAATCAAAGTTATTACAAAGCTCAACATTTGCTTACCCTGTTAACCAGCAAATGTAATCTTATGGATACAAGAGTGTATTATTTGTATTTCTGCCATGGAATAAATTTTATAATGCCATGTAGTGGACATAACTCATGCATCTCTAAAACACTAGAATATGTAGACATACTGTGGTATGGCCATATCATTTGTATAAATAATTGTATATATTCATACATATTTATAACAATATTAATATTATTTATAATATATATAAATCATTCTTTTTCCCCCTCTCTTTCTGTGGTTCTGCCTTTCAAACAAATAGATTTGTAAAAAGAAATATGTGTTATTTTTGTAACTCTGAAATTTTAAAAATTATTAAAATGTCCTATAAGCTAAGTAAATACCACAAACATATTCTTTTATAAACTTTTTAAAAGATTTTTTTATTTGAAAGATTGTAGAGGAAAGGGCCCAAAATGTGAATGCAGGGGCCCAGAAGCCTACTTTTTGCTGCCTTCACAGGAACATTGACAGAAAGCTGGACCAGAAGTGGAATAGTTAATGTTTGAACCAGTGCCCATATTAGATGCTGGCAACCTTGGTGGAGGCTTAGTCACTGCACTAGCCCCCCAAAACATATTTTTCAGCAAAAGAAACCAAACGCAAGTGAACATATACTATAAAAAATTCCCTAAATAAAAATAAATGAAATGTATAGTTGCTGTTATTTAATGGGTATTTTGGAAACAATCCAGCAACTGAGAGGAGCTGTGACCTGGAAAATTGGAATATCCTCTTTTCTTATTTGCATGGTGATTATAACCAGTATGTTCATTTTGAGAAATCTGCTTATCTATTTAAATTTAACGTACTTTTCTAAAAGCAGAATACACCTCAATTGGAACAGGAAAACTTTGCATAAAGGCAACACAAAAGGAAATAGGAACACTCTGCATTGATGAAGGTGAAGTGATAAAGCTATTATAGAAAACACTTTACAGTGTGTGAAATTACTGAGCATCCGGATCTTCCACTTTGACTACATACACACATACACACACACACACACACACACACACACACACACACACACACACACACAGAATTACACACTGTATTCTTGGCAGTATCTTTCATAAGAGGTAATAAATGAAAATAACTCAGATTTGCATTGCTATGAATAATCAACAAAATATAGTACATTCCACAGTGGAATGCTATTCACCTCTGTGTCGTGATTTCAAGCGATATCTTTATATACAATATACATCATTATAAACTTACTAGCAAACCATTAATGTTTGGTAAATATTTAAGTTATAAATTCATTACATTGCTCCTACTCTTTTCAAAAAGATTTATTTATTTGAAAGTATTACAGAGAGAGAGAGAGGTTTGAACAAGTGAGAGAAAGAGAGAAAATATTTCATCTGCTCCGTTAACTCCCCGAATAACTGTAAAGACAGCCAGGGCTAGGTCATGCTGAATCCAGAACCAGGAGCTTTGTCCGGGTGCCCCTATGTGTAGTAGGGGCCCAAGCTTCTGGCCTGTATTTTGCTGCTTTACAAATAAATTGTCAAGGAAGCTGGATGTGAAGCAGAGCAGCCCAGGCACAAACTGGTGCC